TAAAAACATCACGTTTAGTCGTATATCATGCATATTTTGGGAACAGTATGACAAGTTTATCTGGGAAGATTTAATATTTTTATTTCTTAACATTCAAAGAACTGTTGAAGTCAAAAAAGCTATTTGAGTGGAGGCCTTTACCTGACTTGTTTATCTTGTGATGCCAACCATCGTCGACAGAAGTGCCAGAAAAAGTAATATTTTAATTGCAAGATGCGGTGCCATTCTCCTTGAATGTCCCCAAAATCTGACTATTGGAGAATTCAGTATCGTAAGTTGATGGAAGTGTCCACCTCCCTACGTTTTTTGGCACATAAGCGCACTTTACAATCAGAAGATTCTACAGTTTTAAAAGCACTGGGTCCTCAAAAAAGAAATAAATATGGTTAAATAATTAGCCGGCTGATTTTTTGCGCGCACAAGAAAGTCTGGGGTGAGATGTTGAATAGTGCCAGGAGAATGACTATTGGAAATCAGGTGCCTTATCACGTCTAAATATAATGAGAGTGATGAAGCTAGTCATTCTTGATAAACATCGAATTTAATTCTTATTAATTCGATACAATATGACAAATTCCTAGAGAAGTTGTCAAGACAAAGCGATTATTTTTAGAAGAAATGCTCCTTGGAGCCAGAAAAATAGATGCAGTTTTGAGGTCGAATAATCGTTTTTCTATTATACTTTTGTATTTATAACGTTTTAAAAATAAATTTATGACAACTAAAATTATGGCTGATTAAAAACGATAAAATATTCAAGTAGATTAATATTTCTCCTCACCTCAACCTAGATTTATAATTATTATTTAATTATTATTTTCATATTTAAATTAATTAGCTTTTAGTTTAGATGAATTATTAAACACTTTGACTTAATTCAAAATTATATAAAGTATCGTATCTTATCAATATTAATGAAACTTACAATATCAACTTATTCCAATTATTATTAGTAACAGAAATGTACGACATTCTTATAAGTGTGCAATCCCTTTATTTTTGCATTATTTGTTTCTTTGATTTCAACAAAGTTAAATACTTTAATTAATTTTAACTTGAATCTTGTACATGGAATTCAAGTGATCTACTTTCATGCTAGTATTCCTTTGATTTTAACTCCTGGGATAACCTACAAAGAGGTTTTAATAATTTAGTAATACACTTTTGGCTTGGAAGATGGCCAGAGCCTTATTCAACAATGTTCCTAGAAATGGTGTCTTGATAAATTAACCCAGCCTCCTGTGCTATGAACAGGTTAATAGGAGTAGATGGGTTTGCTTATTGTCTGGCCAATACTCCTTTCCTGTTTATTGAACAAGAGTAGAGGTTTATCAATTGTTTCCTTTTTAGGATGTGGTGTACCAGTTCTTTCTTCCATGACCATAATGATTTAAACTGCCTTAACTTTTTGGCAATCTGACTGATCAGTGGCATCGACATTTTGTGAGTACCGGGTTGGCAATCTTGTGGTCGCTGCACCCCAAGGTAGTACTTTGAGAGGTGGTTCTCGTCAACAGTCATATAAAATAGGCTTATTTACAATGCCATATCGCGTGTACTTACGCAAACCTGAAGCATTATGCTTTAGTATTAGTCATCGTGCAGTTGGTATGTATTATCATAGACAATGGTTATTGATAATTATGTTCGTCTTTTATTCCTTAAGAATTCAAATAAACTTCTCATAGAAGTTACAGATACAAATAAACCAGGAAAGAAAAATCCCCTACCCCTAAGTCTTTTGTTCTCCAAAATCTTTTGTTTAGAAACGTTCTCTAGATATCTTAACCCATTGCTATCGTTCGCTTTGCCGAAAAGATTCACACATCCATGGCTTTAATGTTTACATTCGGGAAAATGGCAAAATGATCGTCCATTGAGACCTCGGATTTTCATTTCGTCTGGTGTCGACTTTATTTATTTCACTCTATTGGCTATTATATTTTCCTGTATTGATCACCTTATTCTCAGATCTGTACCATATTAGACAATATATCTGAAAATATAGAAATGTTTCTGATTGTCTACATTCATCTGCGAACATTTTTGTGGCTTAATCGTCTTAATTTTACTGATGCTCAGTCGACATTTATACTTTAAGTTTTCCCGTTGTTCAGTTTATAATGGATTTCATTCCTAGTTTCCTTAATAATTCTGATCAACATTCTACTTTATTTTATTCTTTCCTCTCCTCATCTCCTTGGCAATTTAGATCACGCTGTAGTCTATTGACATTTCTTTTGAGTCGTCTATTAGACAGGAACATCCTATTCACAAGTCTTATGTTATCAGCATACTGATTGGGATTTATTTTTTGCCTTTCTTCACGATATTCCTTGGTGTGAATTTTTTAAGCATCAGATTGAGAATTGTGTCACTGATCTTTTCTTCTTGGGTAAAAGCAGGCATCAATGATAGGTGTCTCCTGATGAGTTACCAATTCTTCTTCTAATGGACCAGTTGGAAATTACCCAAGTAGAACATATGGCTTATGTTTAAAAGGTTCCATACGTCTGATTCCATTCAAGATATAGTCTAACAGTATGTCTAGTCAATTCTTTTAAACAATTGCCTTGACCCGCAGCCATATTAAGAGCTATTGAATCGAACATTGATAAAATCTAGATGACTGTCGAACAGACATCATATTTCAACTTATAAAGGGCCATTTTATCTTCTATCGATGCTAGGGGATTTAGCATTTAGAACCTTCTTCCATGTCATATTGTTTATGAAGACGGCAGTGTCATTTATATCCTCACTTCGTCTATATTCAATGAGAAGTACATTAAATCTTTTCGGAAAAAAACCCTAAGGCAAGTGGAAACCCTTTGACTTTCTAAGGACTTTCAAATTCTAAACGATATAATTGTTTAAGATTCTGCGTCCATTTTACTACTTGTTTTGAAGCATTATAGTAAAAAATGAGTTCGTCTATCTTTTCTGTAAACGACAAATTTGGAATTATCTTCAACAGATGAACATAATCAAAAATGAAATATTTGTTATCTATTACCCTAGGTTTTTCTGGAGATGTTGGATATATTTTTCAAACCCTGATTTAGTCATCATATAAAGTCTTTACATCAACTGACAGTTGAATAGTCAACTCAACTTGCTCAATTAAAATTGTCGATGTTAATTTTGAAATCGGAATCAATTTTGAAAGAAATTTTGAACGATCATTAAGACATAGCCACATTATATCAAGTAGAGTTTGATCAAGTAAATATGGATTATCAACTGACTTACCAAAATGTTGTCTTTCATGATGTAGCAACATTTTCTTGTTCTGTTCTCTATCGTGAAGAATTATGCAATTCTTTTGACTGGCATTAAGAGAATTCAACACAGAGAAAAGAAAAGATTTTTCATCAGTTGTTGCAATATTTTGATGTAATCCGTGTTGGTACTGATATAAATTGTAATTAAAATCCTCTCTTCATCTATTGTACAACGAACGTGATGTTGCATTGTACTCATAAGCGCATATGATTATTTTGGGGCTGTACATTATTCCAACCATTTTGGCGGTCATTTCTGAAAGCTGCTAACTCATGATATCCTTCTTGTGCTCAAAATCAATATAATTTAAATAACGGATCAATTCTTCTAATCTTGACCAAGTATCAACTCTGCTTTTATAGGGTTTTCGGACAGACTGATAACATTAAATCTATAATGAAAGATGCCAAACCACAAAGTTTCATTAATTCCCACCATAAACAAAGTAATATCATCGATAAATTTCAAAAACAGAACAGTTAAAATATTTTTAGCCAAAAATGTTACAACTGGACAGACAAAGCCTTTTTGCTGGTTCTTAGACATCTTTGAAAACTGTTAAATTACTTTCGAACAGAACTGCGGGTTTTTTTTTTTTGGGGGGGGTTAGTCCTTTGAACATCAGGTGTTGTTTTTATTTGATTACTTGGCACACTTGGCCATAAAGTTGATAGATTTGTGGGCGCATTTTTCTAGATGTAAAATAACAGTATTACCTGTAACATTTAGATTAGCATTCGGAGCAGCTTTTTTCCATTTCTCTTTCTATTTTTTGTCTTTTAGAAAACGACAAACTGGTATTTTATTGACTTCACCACGTTTTGCCGTGATTCTTTTATAATTCGTTTTGCAAGCAAAAACGCGGCATATTTGGTGGCATTACTGGAAAATAGATAATATCTAAAAGGATATATTAAGCTACTTGGATAATGATTATCAAGAGAATAAAGTGATTAAGAGCACAATTAATTTCGCTTCAGTTTCTATCAATCACATGCAGACTAAAAAGTATATAACAAGTGGTTCAGAAATTTTACGATTTTGTCAATAAATTATTTTATATTGTTTCTTCTATGATCTCTGAAATATGATAATCCGATTAAATGGCTCATTGAACATTTTTCTAAGACGTTTTTTTCTGAAGCAATGGAAGTCACCTGACTTGGCATCTCAACTTCCGTCACTTCCTCATTGTCTCATTGTTTTACTGTTAAACTACCTAAATGCAACCGTATGTTCTATTCTAATAGTTCCTTTTCTTGCACTTATGTGGGTGTGTGAGTATTTACGTATTGATGTTCACAGTGTGTGTGTGTGTGTGTGTGTGTGCGCATGTACATGTGTATATGCTCATATATATATATATATATATATATATGTGTGTGTGTGTGTGTGTGTGTATAACTACAAACCTAAAGAGTCAGGCAGGGTTACCTAGGTTTCACCGACGCGAATCGCCAGGGTACGTCGGCTAAAGAGGTAACATTAGAACATAATATGACAAAAAAAATCCCGAACCTATTCAACGTTTCGCACGTAAATGAATATAATGGAATTCGAACTCGGTTCTCCGACTCCTCAATCCGAGCTGCTATCTACTACTCCATAATGTCTCTATACCTTACTATTATAATAGCATTTATAATTGAATCGGCAAATTGAATTCAAATTCCATTTGACCCAATCACTTTAGGATTAATTCTTTTATGTAAAATATGGACACGTTTGACATTTTCACTGTTATACCACGATGTTAGAAAAAAATGAACGCGAGTAGATATGTACAAGTAAATTACTTAACCCGCTTCAAAATAGCTGCTTTATGCATTATCAGTATTGACAGATGAAAGCCAGTCATACTTATAAACTTAGCTGTCAACTATCCTGACTATCTCTCTGAAATTACCGATTTCATTATTTCTGTCATCTTGAATACCATCGTAATTACTACTTTTGCCGCCACTCACCACGGCGGCACCCCATCATCAGTAGTCGCCATCCCCCCTTTCAGCCACAGCACAATTTCTCTATTCTTAATCACTGTTTATTACTATCACGACTGGCCAAGCAATCACATCCTTCCCGCCTGTTTGATCTACGATTTGATACCGAGTCTGACAAGAGAAGACTCTTATTATTATAATTATATCTTCCTGACCAACAGATCGCAGCCCTGCGACAGCAGTGACCCTATGTATAAACGCGGTGAAGAGGAAGAAATTACCTGCCAACGTAGAAAATAAGCAAACGTGGAAAAATTAAAGGAGAATAAATGCAGAGGAAATAACTTTAATAAGCAAGATTAAGTCAAATAAAAACAAAACTATTTTTATTTTCATTCAAATACTTTTATTTATTTCATATTATATTTCTATTTTTTTTTTTTGCTTCTGTAATAAAAGTTTGTTTCAGAAAAATGATGATAAATTTTATCGCGGAACAAAATCAATCAGGAGAAAGTGGCTGATGGGAAATGTTTATATTTTACGCATTTTCCAATGAGCTTAAATGAAAAATTTCATTTCTCCACAGGTTCGATCAAGAACTTAAGTTAATAGTTTTAAATATGCAAGAGATTAGAATAGATTAACTTGGTCTGGCACAAGGCCTTAGTATTAAGCGCTCAGTAAAGATTAATCTTACTACATTAGCGTAATGGTCCACAGAAAATGCAAAACATCGTAACTTTATTTGCTTGAATAAGGTAATAATTGTCACACAATGTTTAAAAGACCTGCTAAATTGACTTTTCAACCATTATTCTATGGCAGTTAAGAAAAAATATTTATTAAATTTAGCTTAGTCTAGTATATTACGAATATCAACCACCCGTGAAAATCGAAAACACCACATAAATTCATGATCTGCTCGACATTCAGCCGCCATAGTGGCGCAAACACACATCAATCGACTAGAGACATTTTGGCTACAACGTCTGTTATTAAAATCTCTGAAGTCGCTGCATGGCTGTCTGCCATCAAGCAATATTTTACCTTTTTCTTTTCAATTTTGCCTCATTGGATTTTTCGTTTTTCGATATATGATTCGATTGTTTAACTAACATTTTTCAAGTTTTCAAATATATTTTATCCCTTTTATTTGGCTTCAGAGAATTGAATGTCAAAACGTCTTTATACAATTCAATTGAATTAACTAATTAATGCTAAGGATAATGCTGTGAATCGACTGATATGTCCAATGTCCACTTCCAAGTAATATATATATATATATATATATATATATATATATATCGAACTCGTGACTGCACTGTTATATAAGTTCACATATAGCAGTGAATACTGGAAAATTTCTTCTTAGATAAAGAAGAAACTTGGGGCAAAAGAAATGTGGTTCTAAAGAAGGATACTGAGAATAACGTGCATATGAGTAATGAACATGTTTTAATGAATATGTGAACAAATATGACATTTATAATTAGTATCAGAAAGAGACTGTTCAAATTTCTAGGACTTATAATGAGGAAAGTGTGCTTGGAGAATTTGCCACTCACAGAGCATATAGAAGGTAACCGGGATAAAGGGAAAGAGCGAATAATCTACTTAACAAAAGTGTAAAACAGGGAGAGGACGAGATGGGGGAAATAGACACTTTACGAAGGGGTAAGAATGGTAGGATGTTATGAAGAATTCCATTGTCGTTGACATCCTGAAAGGACAAAGTTCTATGGAAGAAGAAATCTTGAAGACCATTGCTTTTATGTTGAGTTATTCTCTCACTGATTTCTCAAGATATGTAGCTTAAGTCATATTTAAAACATAACAGAAATTATCTTTACGTTGATTCACTCTGTATATCCACGAGAAGTTGTGGTTGGAGTTTGGGCTAAAAATAAAAGCCAGAATTCCTCAAGCTATTCAGAAAATTTTCTTTTGGAATATTGGCGTAAAACGACCTTCCGTTTTGTTTTCTTTAGCCTACTTTAAGCGTGAGAAATGTCTACAAAAGATTCAATGATCAATTGATATGACGTGGAAAAAAGGTCTTTTTTTTTTAAGAAAGGAAGTAAAGACAGAAACTTATATGGGGTGTGAAACAATTATAAAACAGAATTAGTGCTAAGGAGTGTGAATAATAAAAGAGTAATCAGGAAGACAGTAGATAGCGATTGACACTGCATTTAAATGTTCGAAGATCAAAGATATCGGAAAAGCATAGAGCCGGAAGAGTGTTCCACAAGGGAGAAGTGCGAGAAAAGGAACGGTTAGCATAGAACTTACGGTTACATCTACCCATTTCAACTTGTAAATTGATGAGACCTCGCTTGCCAATCTAATACTGCGCTTAAATTCATAATGTCAAGGTACCATAGCGAGGAGCACATCCGAACAATTACCATGAAAGTATTAATAGAAAAGGCACAGGAAGTGTGGAGCTCTCTCCTAAGATGGACTCGTCCAAAGTATACTTATAATGACAGAGAGAATACCTGTTGCTGAGATACGTTGAGACAGGTTGAGAGATACGGAGACAGACACAGGGTGTTCTCAGAGAGTTAGACAAGAGTCCAGAGAGAGAGAGAGAGAGAGAGAGAGATGATTACAGCTTTACTTACAGAGATTTGTACATATACTTTCTACTAACCCGCATTCCAGGACTACTAATCTTCACTTCAAGTCTGTATTCTTACGTTTAATACACTTATTTTTCTATCTCAATTACTGGCGTTGTTTATTTATTTATGCAGGATTCCATTCACGTAATCCACAACAACTTGGCGACGAGGATTTCGCACTTCACGGGGACTTAAAAAATTCTCTCTCGTCAACACAACAACTTGACGATGAAGAGTACGGACATGTACGGAAAAAAAATAACTTGGCGACGGAAATTCGAGAGTCACGTCGACCACAACAGCCTTGCGACAAACATAAAAGAACGTACACCAGAGATAGAAAAAAAATATCGTCACTCCCTAAAAAATGGAAGATTTTCAAAAAGCAATGCTTGAGTTTATAAGAATAAATGAGGAAAGACAGCTAATAAATGAAGAAAGACAAATGCAACACCAGGAATTAATATTAAAAGTAACGGTTAACGCACAACAGAAGAATATCGAAAAGAGGCGACTTTTCTCAAGACGCAGTTTGGAACACAATAGAAACATTTAAATACTCTCTAGAAGATGATAACAATTTCGGGGACTATTACAGACGTCATGAAGACATTTTCAACATTGATTGCCAAAATTGGACGGAAGCTAAGAAGCTACGTTTATTACTCAGGAAATTGGGAACAGAGAAATACACAAAATTTGTGGACTATATTCTACCGAAAAAGCCAAACGATTTGACGTTTGACGAGGCAGTTACATGCCTTACGGAGTTCTTCAGTTCAAAGACTTTACTTTTTCACAAAAGGTGGAAATGTCTCAACTTCGTAAAAAGAGAAAATGAGGACTACTTCACGTTCGCCGAAATTGTGAACAAACATTGCGATGACTTTAAATTGGCAGAATTGACTCCGGACAATTTTAAGTGTCTTAATTTCGTACAGTTATTAGTCTCAGCCAAGGACAGTGAAATGCGAAAAAGAATCCTCACGAAGCTTCAAAACGAGACTGGATTGCCGCTACAAATATTGTCAGAAGACTGCCAAAAATGCTTGAGTATAAAAAAAGTCTCTAAAGATATCGAGGAATCGGGAGTAGCACATACGTAAGTTGAACAAAACGTTACGTTTTCATCACCCCGAAAGAAAAACAAAACATTCATGATAAAGAAAAAATTACAAGGTATAAGGCGATTAATGACAGAGATCAAAGCAAATATATGCACCCCCCACCATCTGCATGTTACAGATGTGGTGAATTCCACTGGAATAAAGACTGTCGATTTAAATACAAGAACTGTTTAGCTTGTGGAAAAATGGGACATAAGGCATGCAGAAAAAAAAACACACTAGTAGGGTAAGAACTACTAGAATGGACTATGAAGACAAACTAAACACAAGAAAATACGTGGAACTCGAGACTTAAATAAGAAGGTAAAATCTATAATTAATTTACAGACATGGAGGAAGCTAAATAGACCGACCATGATGCATACACAGAAAATTGCCAAGTCTGTTACAGGGAGGCGTATTAATTTTGAAGGAGAAGTAATTCTAAATGTAAAATTCCATGGTAAAACTAAAAAATTGAAGATATTTGTAATGAAAGACAGACAATTTGGTGGGCACGGATTGGATGCAAAAATTTGACGTATGGGATTTACCCATTAGCTCCTTTTGTAAGAAAATAGATTGCGAACCGTCAGAAGCTACAAAATTAAAAGAAGAACTACACAGGCAATTTCCCGAAGTATTCTCGAACGGTTTGGGACGATGTAATAAGTTTGCTGCTAAAATTGAACTAAAAGAAAATCTTCAGCTAGTATTCAAGAAAAAGCGAGACGTGCCTTTCGCAACCATAGAAAAAATTTACAAGGAGTTAGATAGATTGGTACAAACTGGAATCCTTTCAAAAATTGAATTCAGTGAATGGGCGGCACCAGTGGTCTACTTAAGGAAAAAATCCGGAGAAACACGTGTTGGCGCAAATTTCTCGACTGGTTTAAATAAGGCTATCAAGAATTATCACGACCCATTGCCAAGCCCGGGGGAAATATTTACCAACCTTAACGGTGGTAAGGTATTTTCTAAGATTGTTTTAAGCGAAGCTTATCTTCAGATTCCAGTAGAAGAAGAAAGTACAAAAATTTTATGTACCAATACTCATAAAGGACTTTACAAATTTAACAGATTGCCATTTGGGATAAAAGTAGCACCGTCAATCTTTCAACAGACTATGGATATCATGCTCATGGGACAGAACTTTGCTACTGCTTACTTAGACATTTTAATCAAAAGTGATAATGTAGAAGAACACGCAACGCATATTAAAGAAGTCTTTAAAAGAATTCAGGATTTTGGTTTTAAAGTGAAGGAGAAAAAATGTGTTTTTTCTAAAAGAAATCAAGTATCTAGGCCATATAATCAATGAAAGTGGCAGAAAACCAGATCCAGATAGGGCATCTGCAATAAAAAAAATATGCCTGAGCCGAAAAATGTCGCAGAGTTGCAAAGCTTTCTTGGTCTAGCGAACTATTACGGTGAATTCATTGAAAACATGCACAAATTGAGGGCTCCCCTCAATGAAGTATTGAAAAAAAGAGAACAAATTGAACTGAACGGAAGATTGTCAGAAAGCTTTTAAGGAGATCATAAAGAAATTAACGCCTGATCTAGCACTGACTTTGATCCCAAACTGGAAATTATCATTGCTAGTGATGCCAGCTCACAGGGAGTGGGAGCTTGTATATTACACAAGGAAACCTATAGCTCACGCATCTAGATCGTTGTTACCAGCAGAGAGGAATTATTCGCAAATTGAGAAAGAAGCGTTAGGCATAATATTCTCCATAACTCGCTTCCACAGATACATATATGGAAGAGAGTTTACTCTTCAAACTGACCATAAACCTCTTCTCACTATATTCGGATCGAAGAAAGGACCACCAATTTACACAGCCAACAGGCTTTAGAGATGGGGAACTATATTATTGAATTATAATTTCAAATTAGAAAATTGGTCATGCGGATGGATTATCTAGATTGGTACCTGCGAAATGCGAACCTCTGGAAGACTCGGTAATAGCGGCTTTACGAGCCGAAGACGAAATTAGTAAAGTTCTAAACAATACAGTAAGGGAATTACCAGTGACCTTGTTAGAAATCAGAAGAGAAGCTGAAATGGATGAATTCATACAAAGTACAAAGAGAAAAATAGAAGACAAAGAAAGAAATCTAGCGGAGTGTTTTTCAATTTGTAATCACGTATTACTTCATAATGAAAGAGTGGTCATACCCAAATCTTTACAAAGACGAATTCTGAAGGACTTTCATCTAAGACACCCAGGGAAAAATCGTATGAAAGCGTTAATGAGAAGTTTCGTGTATTGGCCTAATATGGATAACGACATTGCTCAAATGGTAGAAAAATGTAAAGGCTGTGCTGCGGCAGCAAAGGCACCACCTATTATACAAAAACCATAGCCTAAGGTGGACAGACCTTGGTCTAGAATCCATGCGGACTATGCAGGACCCATAGATCGATATTACTACTTGATGACGGTAGATAGCTTTAGCAAGTGGCCAGAAGTTTTCAGATACAAAAACCCTACGACGGAAAGCACTAATAATTGTCTACACGAGTTATTCGCAAGATTCGGCGTTGTAGATTGCCCTGTAACGGATGATGGTACTCAATTCACCTCGAGCGACTTTCAAGAATTCTGTGCGACTTATAAAGTCAAACATATTAAAATAGCACCATACCATCCACGATCTAACGGGCAAGCCGAAAGGTTTGTGGACACACTTAAGAGAGCATGGAAAAAAGCAGGGGACGTACCAACAGAAAGAGCCATACAACAGTTCCTACAAGTATACAGAATGACCCCGAACGGAAACACACCATCTGGCCTTTCGCCAGCTGAAGTGATGTTTGCACGCAATATACGGTCTGTTTTTGATAAACTATTACCCAGCAAAAATAAAAACCGGCATATATCGATAATGTCTAAAAGATCCTTCAAACCAGGCGAACGGGTCTATTTCAGAATGTTCATATGGCATACTAGGAACCAGGTACGATAATAAGCAGACTGGGGAATGTTCTATACACGATCCGAAAATGAAGACGCGATGGAGGCGATTTTCGAAGCCTTCGAAATTCAAAAACCACAAGTCGCCATGGAGGTCAGAAGAACAAGCCGAAAAAGAAAATTCACGTAACCACTAATAATAGATCATAAGCGAAAAAATATTAACTCCCCTAAAAAAAGTAGCTAAGGGGTGAGTTGTTGTGGTGCTCTCTCCTTTTTACATAAGATGGACGCGTTCAAAGTATACTTATACTGACAGAGAATACCTACTGTTGAGATACGTCGAGATACAGTCTCTGACTGTTTGCGACGTTTGTCGAACTCTCTGCTTTGGCAGAGAGGAACCAGGACGAGGCTTTACCGAAGGGCAAAGTTTCGTCTGGGGAGGTAGACAGGACCTGAACCCGTCTAGGCGGGTTCAAATGGGGATATTTTTTGGCTGAGCCTACGGGATCGGAGAAACTCACTTTAAACTTGGCCTTGTGCCACATATATTCCTCGTGGGTGGAATGTTAAATATCGAGATACGTTGAGATATGTTGAGACAGGTTGAGAGATACGGAGACAAACACAAGGTGTTCTCAGAGAGTTATGTAGTAGAAAGATTATATTGAGTCAACTGGTATGTTTTACCTACGAAAGTTGTTTCACTGTGTCGTGCTAGACCATTTTTCTCACCAGAATCTATCTTACATGTTTATAAATCTACCTTTCTTTGATGCATCGAACATTGATGCTACATCTGGTTTGTTGTGTCTGCTATATATTTACAGATTCTTGATAAAATCCTAAAAAGCATCGGCAATGTTAATGGTTTTTACCTGTTATCTCGGCTTGATTCACTTTCCTATAGCCATAATGTGCCTTCTCTATAAATACCTAAACTTCATGAATTTAAGCGCAGTACTAGATTGGCAAAAAGGTCTCATCAATTTACAGTTAAAATGGTGAGATGTAACCGTTCTATGCTAACATTTTCTTTTCTCGCAATTCTCGGCCGTGGAGCTCTCTTCCCTCTTCTTACTTCCCAGTCAACTTTGATCTTTAAAATTTTAAATGCAATGTCGATCGTTATCTACTGTTTTCTTGATTCCTCTTCTTTTATATTTTTCTCGCTCCTTAATAATGTTTTTAATTTTCTTATTTTTTTCACATTCAGTAACCCTTTGTGTTTTAGTGGCTTTATTGACTTACATTGGGTGAAATGATGAAAAAAATGACCTCATACCAAACTTTCAACAAAACTAATACTTAAACTGCCTGAATAGTTTGTAACAACTGTCAATTTTATAAATTTTCTTTCAAAGACAAAATAAAATATTTTAAATAAATAAAAAAATAATAAATAATAAATGGCGCGATTTCTTTTCTCCGTTATTAAGTTTTATGAACCATTTCGTCATTTGCTCTTAATGTACAATTATATTAAACTTATCTTTTATTAGCCACAATAAACACAATACCAGTAGTATAAATATCTGTTTAAATACTTACACATTTTTCTTTACATTTTACCTTCAGCACGCAACAGTGTAGAATTCACAAGAGTTGAGCGCATTTGGCAGTGACTCAAGAAAACATTTGACCGGAAATCCTACTTTACTGAAATACATATCGAGTATGTCTTTATAGACATAAATATTCTCACCACCCTTTCCGAAACTTTGATGCATGTAATCTCTCTCTCTGCTCTCTCTCTCTCTCTCTGTTCTCTCTCTCTATCTCTATTCCTCTCTCTTATTGCTCTCTCTCTCTCTCTCTGCTCTTTCTCCGTCTGCTCTTTCTGCTCTCTCTCTCTCTGCTCTCTCTCTACTCTCTACTCTCTCTCTCCCTCTCTCTCTCTCTCTCATTGAACCTTTTACACCATTGTATCTTTTTTGTAAAACAAAAGTTGACAAGAGCAAAAGCTAATTCGCTTATTTCCTACGGCGGTTGGTCATAAATGGTCACACATAAGTAAAAACAAACGTTTTCAAGGCAATCATATCCTTCACTTTTGGAAGATTGGCGCAACAATATCTTCAAAAGTCAAATATAAAAAATAAAATATAACAATGGAAGAGAAAATTGAACGTGAAATCAAATGTCATAAAATTAAAGCGTAAAAAAGAATTAAAAATTCTATTTCATTAAAAATAAAAAAAATTAAAAGGGCAAGCAGGAGAGATGCAGTTTAAATGAAATAGAAGAAAGATTACGAAGAGGAGAAGTTAGAAATTGCTGAGTTATTTCCCAAAGTCTGGTAGCGGGCGATGGTATTGGGGTGGGGGTCAATATGTCCAGAATACAAATGACAAGAGATGAGGGCAAAAATCAGAACGAAAAATGACAGACGTCATTTGGAAAAAAGGCGGGCAAGGGAAAAAGCTGTAGACAATGAAACAACGCAATAATAAAAGATTCTTCGTAGCAATAATTATAGTATTAAAGGAAAGATATTGAAACAAGTTGTAAAGAGAAGATTTTATTGCCAAATTATACGGAAAAGTAAAAGAATTCGAAAGAAAAGAATCTTTTTTTTTTACCACAGCAAAATATTCTATCAGTTGAATCAAGTTGCGTTGTGGTTCAATTCGAAGAATCGATATTAGCTTCTTTCAGCGTTTAAAATTCTAAATTCAACGGCTGTTGAACCGAATCTTTATAAATTAACAATGTCCTATTTGGAACAAACAAAACATCCCAGCAGTTAATTTACATTTAAGGTTTTGCTTATAATTTCTAAAATTGGCCTGAGTCAAAAATAAGAAACATTTAACGGCTAGGAAGTAAAAAAAAAAAAAAGAAAATAATTTCATAAATGATCATCAATTGCAAGAATATGAATTATTTTATATGTAAACAACTTGATATGAAGTTCCATAGTTTCCTGAATGCATTTATAAATTTTAATAAATAGATGTGTATCATTGTTCATTTTCTGTTTTATATTGGTATATATGAAATAGAAAAGGCATCGTATATTCATTATATAGATATATCATTATATATATATATATATATATATATATATATATATATATATATATATATATATATATATAAAAAAATATAGTCTTAAGATGTGCTATATTTATGGGATAAAGTGCTCAATATTAGAGATAGAGCGTGTGTAAATATAAAAAGGTAAATAGAAGTCAACATTAGGGCGACAGTCTGTTTCAGGCACTGAGGATTGCATCTAGCCTGAAACAGACTGTCGCTAATAAGTGTTGACTTCTATTTTCACTTTGATATATATATATGTATATATATATATATATATATATATATATATATATATATATATATATATATATATATAGCAGGGACAGGACTAGGTTCTATAGCTTTAGGTGGTAACTAGTCTAGGAGAAGTGAAACTCTGAATTCAAAACCTGCGGAGAGTCCTTTGGGGACCTTGTGGCACGTAGTGTACCAGGTCTCTGTATTCGGCCCTTCAAAAGTGTGTGAATGGTACTTCACAAAACCTTCAGCACTATAATCCAATCTCATGTGCTGGTGTCGGGTTGTCGGTTCTTACGAATTGATCTGTTTGACCCACATACGTCGAATGCGACAGGAGAGTCGAGTGTATATATATATATATATATATATATATATATATATATATATATATATATATATATATATATATACCAAAATATATTAAATCAAATAGTAATATCTGACTTATGATCATCAAAGGTCAAAAACAAAAAACAACCATCTATAAATAATAATAATTATAATTTAAAAACCTGCATCCTCAAATGTATATAAAAACAAATAAATAAAATAAAGAAACATACACGTAAACCCTCGCCTAGCCCCCCCCCGCCGCCTACGTTGCAACACTCTTCGCCCACGTTGCAACACTCTTCGCCCACGTTGCTATAATCCCAAGTTCTACGGGACTCACTATTTTCTCTACCTACACCGACCGATGATGACTTAAAAAAGTGGAAAGCTTGGACCGTATTTCTTTTGGACAATTTACCTTCTCATCTGAAATGTCGATCAATAAAAATTAATCGTCACGAAGCATCTGTTGTCTTTAATAACATTTGCCTCACACACACACCAACAAACACAAACAGAATGGGTAGGATAAAAAAATTTATATACACGTACATATACTTGCTCGTACGTATAAATATATTTCTTTTTCAGGTATTATAAATAGAGGGCTCAATGTTATGTAACAGTGCTATTAATTATATATTAGTGAATATACATAATATCGAACGTCGATAGCACGACTCGGAGTTTCATGCAGTTCTTGCAATCTTCAGGTGCAAATATGTCCTAACCGTTATGAAGTTATCGTACTCATCACGATTCAAAATTGTGCCTAACAATTGGTTTATTTAATTATTGTTGCGTAAAATATCAGAATTTACTTTTTATAATAGTTTATAACATTCCAGTTCTTAAGTTTGAAAGGTAAAGAATTAAAAAAATAATAATAATAAAGATAGAAAAAATTATAATTTTTTAAAAAATTTAAATTTGAATTAAAAAATAAACAATATATCCGTACCTTTGCATAATGAAAATTCTCAAACCGCTGTCAATTGTGATGCGATATAGTTTAGTCAGTGTTAACACCGCTTTGGTTGAGGATAGCATGACACCGGGAATTAACTTGGTTCGAAAGGGGTGTGAAGGATGCGATGTAACATTTTTGAAATTGTGAGGAAATTTGATATTCGTCGATCTACGGGATCTTGTGAGTGGCGGGAAGGCCTGATGGAAAAGATTACCACTCATCTTGAATAGTGCAATGACGGCATTCTTATTTTATGCCTCATGTCCTTTAAGGACGGGGGCGATCTTGGCCCTCGACAGCTGTATTTCTCCCTTTGCCAAGCTCTCCACCCTCCGTTCTGGCATCTGTTAACAGAATCGCGTTAGGTAGATGGCTCTCTGTTTTCCCCTATCTCTCTTGGCCTCGATATGCCGTGTTAGGGTTACGTTATCCAAGCGTTCTTTCCTCATTGGTTGCCTCCAGTTTTCTCTTCATCAGTTGGGAAACTGTTTGTTAGGCATTCATTGTCATACAAGATTAACATCACAGCAATTTGGCATTCATTTTTAGTTTCGGCTTAGTTTTTGGAAGGCCTCTTTCGTTAGTTAGGATTTGGGTGTCGTATTTTCCATCTTCTGTTAAAAGACGTCCCAGATTATGGCAAATTCTGTACTTCTTTTGATATTGGCATATCTCCAATTCGTAGTTTGCTTTTTTCTCGTGCTGACGACCACATTTTTCTCTTCTTGATCTTCTTGACCCTCATACGTCTAATTGGACGGGAGAGTCGAGTGTATATATATATATATATATATATATATATATATATATATATATATATATATATATATATATATATTACTCCTTTTTTCCTACTTTTAAACATTATTGTGTATGTACCAAGAAAGAAACTTCATATTTTCTTAAAACAGATTTAGTCTTGTACCAAGAAGAGAGATGCTTAATTTCTTAAATGCATTTTAAGCTTGTAACAATTCGTATTTTCTTAATACAATATTGTGTTTAATTTTTGTGTCACTATACCCATATATACTATTTTTAGCCAATTCAAGCTTAAAGAGCCACTCAAGATAGAGTATTAACCCTTTGAGTCTAGCGTTCCTGAAAAATTTTAACCCTTCTGCTTGAGCGGATTTCGTTACAAATAGTTGTTATATAATGTTTCACGGTAGATATAAAAATAGTTACAAGTATTTACCCACCGTTCATCCGGTAGCTGGGCATTACGTCATTTTTTCTACCAATGTTCAACCAGGGCATTACGTCATTTTCATTTTGTAGTAATAGCGTAAATAGAAAAAAAGTAAAACATGCATATCAGGATGATATGTAGGATAGATAAAAGTTGAACTCGTTTTAAAGACAGAGCAATAAAATGGCAATGGAAATTCTTAATATTTTAAAATATCATACAATCAAAATTGTCCAGGTTCTATGGTTGTGTTTTATGTACGTGTGTGTTTGTGCGTTCATCTATGTGTTTGTGTGCGTGTGCGCGTCTGTGGGAGAGAGAGAGAGAGAGAGAGAGAGAGAGAGAGAGAGAGAGAGAAATGTAAATATTTTTTAGCGCGTACATTGGTTTTGTTTTAGAAGTTACGCCGCAAAGGCCTGTTTAAACTCCTAGGAAATTTTGATTTATTTAAGGAAAGATATTAGATTAACTCAGAATATATATTGGAGCAGAAGACCGACAAACCGATCGAAAATCAACCAACTATACAAAAACTAAAAGAACCGTAAGACTATGATGTGTCTTCCCGCCGGACTTAATCAACATTGACAGTAAGACGATTCTGATAGAACTAAAAATACAAGTATTTATTGATGAGAAGGCGCATTTGAATAGCAAAAGATGCCTTCCAAAAGTAAAGCAAAGTATTAAGAAGCGGGCAAGTTTCGTTGCAAATAACGCAAACACTGCTATGTAATATCACTCCTCCCTTACGGCAGTAAATACTGGACAATGCCCTCCTAGATGAAAAGAATAGCTGAGCCAGCAGAGATATTGTTCTACAGAAGGATGCTGAGAATATCATGAATGGAACCTGTAAGCAACGAGGAAGTTTTAAAGAAAAATGAAACAAAAAAGACGCTTATACTTACAATCAGAAAGAGACAGTTGATATTTCTAGGGCATATAATGAAGAAAGACGGCTTAGAAAGTTTGACACTCACAGGACATTAAAGGTAAGAGGGGCGAGTAATAGCGTGCAACAGACCTAACAAGCTTGTGTAAGTGAATGCCAGGGTACAAATCTATTATGATTATAGGAAAAGCACTAGAGTGTGAAATTCCTACAATATGATTTTTAACGCCGTGAA